CTAAAATTAAAAATGCATTTAAAATTAAAATTGAGCCAGTTTGGTGTAGTGGTTAAGGCACTGGGCTAGAAACCTCTCTCAGCCTTCAGGAGGAAATGGCAAGACACTTCTGAAAAAACTTGCCAAGAGAACTGCAGGGACTAGTCCAGGCAGTTGCCAGGACCCAACACTGATTTGAAGGCACCAAAAAAAAAAATTTATTTATTTTTTTTAAATCTCATTCTGAGAAGGCAGAGTATACCAGCAGGGATTTTTTTTTGTAATGACATGTCCAGAGCATTGCCAAACAAATCCTGGCCTTTTGTGCTAGCGTCCCAACATCAGAGGCAAATTCATAAGTCACATCATGCACGTTTGTGTCATTTGTCTCCCTGACAATGCACACGACCTGACAGACTCGGCGCTTTTCCCTCTGCCCATGCCTGAGTTGGCAACAAACTTCAGTTTCCATTTCTTTTGCCACTGCTGCCCCCTGACTTCCCCCAAGGTTTATAAGGATACACTTCACAGTATACAGATTAAAGCTGTCCTTGGATAGTGTTGAATTAAGGGAGGAAAGACTACTTTAACTCTGGCACAGTTAAGGATGACTTAAGGCTGTTTCACTCACAGGCTGGGGATGAAATGAAATGAAGGCAAGATCAGGGAGACACAGCAATATGTGCTGTGGTTAGATGTTGGTGGGGGAGAAGCCCTGAGAGGCCAAAGCAAAAAGCAAAGGGAAGGTCTCTCATTTTTATGTGTGTTTGGCTGAGAAGCCAATACAATGGTTCTGATTTAGATGGGCAAGTTTCTGGTAGGATCTTTTCATGCGTTACACTTTCTGTGCCTATCTCTCTACCATTTTTTAAAGTGTGAATGGGACAGATGAGGGTTGTGTGGTGGTTGCATTTATTCACCTGTGAGCCAGGTTGATGAATGAGCTGACTGGCAAGCACCGGCTTGTTGCAGTGGGCAAGGTGGGATGCCCCTGGGGCGTCAGGGAAGGACAGATTCTGTCAGCTGCTTGGTTAAGGCTTTGGGAGATAGTTGTTCTAACATGATGAAGAAGCCCACTCTTTTTGAGGAGGGGGTTATTGGCCATGGGATCCTTCCCCCTCCCTCCCCCCCCATTCAGAATTAAATCTAGACCTGTTCATCCAGGAGTTTGTCCTTGTCCTGCAGTTTCAAGGATGGTTTTTTTGCATGACTTTGATTTTCAGGTTACTCACTGCGTTTTGCTACTGCGATAGGTCTGCTCTCCTCACCTGCTAATTTGGGGTCCATCTAAGTGCTGTAATGTATTAGAGAGCTTTTCCCAATCTCGTGGCTTATGTGCTGACTGGAGACAAGGGGCGCTGTAGTGCAACACCTCTGCAGAGGCGAGGTGAAAACTCTTAGAGAAAGGAAAGGGGGAAATGTGTGGGTCGCAGTGCTGGCTGGAGGAAGAGAGGTGTGGTATGGCATCAGCAACAGTATCCACAGGGAGGGTGAAAAATGGCAAGGTGGCAGCTGCAGCAGTGATGGCAAAGCTCTGTCCCTTTGTATGTGCGTGTGATGTTGACACAAGTACAAAAGGGCTAGGCTGTGTGCTGCCATCACCACCATCTTGCCTTGTTTTGACTCTCCTGTAAAGGCTCCTGCATGTCGGTATGGAAGAGCTCCTGATTCTCATACTCTCTTGTCCAGAACTCTTTCTGTAGACAGGAGGGCCTTGAATCCAACTTACTTAATCTGAGCTTTTCATAACATTTAGCAGCAACGTAGTGGCTTATCTTTTTCCCTGATGGTAGATATGAGATTGCTTCATCTGCTGGCTGCTTTGTTTTCGTTTTTGCATTGGTTGCATTCTTTGTTTTTTTGGTAAGTTTTTAAAGAGGCCCAGAAGATTTCTAAGCACAATATAAACACTGATGAAATGACTTCCATGTAATGCTGCATGAAACAGTGAATATGCATTGATGTTTTGCTAGCAGCACCAAGTATTATGTCTTTATATACAATTCATGTTCAGCTGAGCAGAACACCCATATCCAGCTACTGACCACCACATAGATGATATAAATCCTTCCTATTTAAATTATTTGGATATTTATGAATCTGTATTGCCTCTCTAATAATGCTAGGGAAATATCTGTTCATCACACCAAGGATGTAAAATCTGCTCTGCAAAAGGAAGCAGCATTGTTTAGCAAAACTTGATTGACTCACAAAGAATTACAGTATCTGGAAGACATGTCAACAATGAATAGTGGCTGCAAAAGAAAAATTCAAGGATATAAACATATTCAGCATTCAGTTCCCTTTTATTTGTCTCTGACCCTTATTGTTATAGCCGTAATATTTTACTGTGTTGGTAATTATCTGGCAAACTACAGTGTGGTTTTGAATCCATCTTGGAGGAGGACATTCACTTTCATGTCAGCTGGAAAAGAAGGGGATGAGGTGAGGACCTGGCTGAGAGAACTACCTCTCACGGAGAACCAGGCTGCATCCTCAGATAATGTCTGAGGCCCAAGTGATGGAGGCATGAGGTTCTACCAGCATTTTTTTTCAACTTTTTATACTCTGATCTTTCTGAACATATTCCATATTCAGTTAAGCTTTTAAATGGTAAACATGCAGTGAGGATAGAACATTTCATGCCTATCTCATGACTGTATATGGATATCTGTGGGATAAGAAAAGATCAGCTTAGCAGGAATTTCTGACTTTCCCTTCTCCCTGTCTGGCTTCAGTCCCACCCACCTACCCAGTGAGTTCAAAAATAGACAGCTGCTTGATCCATGTGGGAGGGCTGGCTCTGGGGCTGGGAATGAGATGACACAAGAAGTTAATGAGCCTGGTAGTGACTTTAAACTATTGATCTATAGGGCAGGAACTGAGTAACTTTTTCTTCCAGCTGATGGTTGCAGTTTCTCTCTTCAGGCTCTTGTGTGTTGCATCACCAGCGAAGAGTTTCCCCTATAGCTTTTTTTCTGACAATAGTGGATCAGTCCCCAAATCCTAGCAGTTATAATCCTTCCTGATTAAAGATCTTACCTGACAGCTGAGAAACTCAGTATCCAGCTGAATGGTTAGTGCTGATGCTTTGTGGTAAACATCCAGAATGAGTATTTAAGAGTCTCTAGCTGTTCTAAAACTGTTAAGTAGTACTTCCTGAAACTTATAAGGTGACCTTCTCCAATCTGGTCACCGTTTTGACTATTCTTCCATTATACGAACCAGAAGGGACTAAATAAATTGACAGTGTAAATGAAATATGTTTAAATCAGCAGGTACCTGAAAACTTTCTAAAGGGTAAATGTTGGCATCCTTTGAAATCCAGCTTAGAATCATAGGAACATTTTATTACAGTAATTGACCAGCTCAAAAAACAAAAAACAAATTGTAACACAGCAAGTAAAAAACACAGTAAAATCCAATAATTTATACAACCGATGTGGTCAAATATGGTGTTTTTTACAAATAGTAAAACTTAGCCATGTTAAGAGAACTAAAATCCCATTGGTCAGATAGTAACAAGTATAAATAAAATGGATCCCTGTGACCTGGAAATCAGACTAGGTGGAGAGTTATTAGCTGCAGTCCGGCATCTTTACAATGAGAGCAATGTAACAAAATGTGAGTTAAAGTTTTAGGAACTCCTTCAGCACAGAATCTTTGTTCAGATGGGCTATCTTGTAATTTCCTCTCAAAAATTGCCTTGAGAAGGCAGTAAATCTTACCAGGTGAGGGCTCTTCTGAATTTGGGAACTGTTACTTGGTTTAGATATCTAGCTGCTTTGGAAAAAGATGAGGAACTCATCTTTGGGGATAACCAAATCCTTCCAAATCCTTGGCATGCTGTTTAAGGGCTCATATATCCCATCATCAGGATTGCATTAAGTGAGAGACCATAGCACTTCCATTTCTCCATCTCAGATATATTACTAGCATGATACTCCTGAAGCCTTGGCTGTATTTTGGCATTTTCTCAAGCAACGCAGCACTTATATCTAATCTATTGGAATAGCTTGTCTCAATTGTCTGAATTAAAAAGGTGGTTTGAGATAATTACAATGGGCAGAGGGTGTTATTTAAGAATAGAATGATTGCTCAGGGTTAGAAATGACTACTTTTTGTTTTCTTCAGGATCAATTTATTCTCCAGAATGTGAGCCAGAACTTGAAGTGATTTTGTTGTGGAGGCCAACCCTGTGCAAGTGATGTGTCTCCATAGTAACATTACTTTTTGCCATATATACCCAGGAAACTAACATTCTGTTTTCCTTTTGGATTTTTACATACAGTAAAGGGTGAAATATCTTTTACTATAACTTAAAATTATGTTTTATTATTTTGTGCGTGTGATTATGGAACCCCACTGCACGATGTTTTGATTTAACTCTCCAGGTCTCCTAGGCACTGCTTAGTTTTTAGGTATGAAATATTCCCCTCTGAAATATGAAAGGAGGTGGTGCATTATTGATAATGGCCACTGATCTCAAGTGGGGTCTGCAAATTGCACGTGTAAGATTACGTTTACTAGTCCCCTACCTTCAGTAGTCAGGAATGCTCCACTGAATCATAGAGTAGTACTCTTTGATGTAAGCAGAATAGGGCAAAAATCTGCTCTCTTTGTTCAGAGTTCTTTTAAAGTAAAATACTTTAAAAGATCTAGATTCATAAGCGATTTCTACAGATTAACCAGGTAGTACAGATCTATTCTCTCCTTTAATGCTGTTTGCAAACTCATTCTTCTTGTTGATCACATTTGTTTTTGCTCCCTTGCTGTGTGTAATGATTTAGTAGCTAAGGTACTGCTTTTATTAGTTGTCTTAGAGCATCCCCAAGAAGCTAGGATATAAAATTCAAAATTAATAAGTGAAAACAAATGAAAAGTAGGTCCCAACTTGCTGTTTGGGATACAAGGGTGAGTCCTAGTTCCTCGGAGCTAGAAGAAAGAAGGGCATTGTCCGAAAGCATTGTTGGCTTTTGCCTGAGTCCCCTTTCTCACTTGTGGGCTTTGGTCTTTTTCAGATCCGCTGGCTCCCTCCCTCAGAGGCTACTTCCCAGGGCTGGAAGTCCCGTCAGTTCTGCTGAATCCTTTGTGAGTAGATGAGAAGCACCCCTTGCCAGAGGTTCCAGCTGATCACCAGGGGGAGTGCAAGGGCTGTGGCTTCTGTTTCTCATGTTGTGTATAGAATGAATGTCAGACCAGTGATTACTCTCACTCTTGGAGCCATTCCCTTTTTCCCATCTTCAGGTATCCTCTCTCTGAAAATGCTCACTTCTAACCTTTAACAAGGAAGGAGAACTCTTTTATGCAATTTGGAGTGGACAGACCTGTTGTTCTGTGGCATAGTATTATTATTATTATTATTAATATTAATATTAATAATAGTAGTAGTGTTAATATTCTGAAAGTTCAAAGCGGCATACATAGGAATCCTTCTAATTGTTAATTAGGAGAAGCTGGGCCAGGAGAGAGTGATGGTTGAAAATCATGGTGGTCAAGTGGGACTGGAATCTGCATCTCTTCAAGTCCAAGACTAATACTTTAACCACTGGCTTAAATTAAATTAACTGGATGAAATTAGAAGTTGCAATGCCTTCTTAGAATTGATATGTTTGTCAATTTTTTAAACTGATTGGTACCATAATGTTAAAATAAGGTTTAGCCCTGTTCCCCAAATATTTTTTCACCATGGGAAAGAATGTACAAACAAGACTTTTCCCACAGAGGAGGCTGTCCTCACACATATTAGTTCTAAGAAGGCATTAACACAAAGATGGCACCTATCTGCAGCTCCTTAAAACTGCTGGGATCCAGGGAAAAGAGATGGCTGCACTGAAGCACCTGCTTGGAATTAAATCCAGAGCCCTGGAGAGCCCTAATACAAAACCATAAAATGGAAGGCCAAGCATATAGCAGGCAGTTTAAAAGCCTATAGCCGCTAGTCTATTTAAAAGTTCAGACTAATAAAATAATATTTTGATGGCTGCCTAGAAGTTTGCCACTTTCTGAAGGATCTTCCTCGGATGCCACAACAAAAGACAAAGTCTGCTGCCCTCTGTAGCTGCCCGCCTTGCCTGGGGTGGGAGTTTCTCAAGCAGGGCCTTAGGTAAAGATTGCATGAGGCCCTCAAGATGTTTTCATGTCTCCACTGATTAGTGATCTCCCATTCTTTTAGGGATGTGAATAATCCCTTCCCTGTGGAGTCTGTATATGAGCCCCCTGTAGTATGTGGGATAACGGGGCAGGAAGGAATGCTATTTAGGGAAGTGCTTGGGGCTCAAGACTGGTAGAGAGCTGTCCTCAGATGATCTGAACTAGTTGAAGGTCAGAATAGATGAGTGACATAACTACATTGCCTAGGGTTCGTGTACAAACTACAAACAGTTCCATCTAAAGATAAAAGATCCCAAACCAGACTCTCTGTCTTTTGCAGCTTTTTTCAGAACCAAAGAGGAGAGTTATCTTCCCCTCTCTGTTTTTAAATTATTTTTAGCCAAATAAAACAAATCTGCTCCTTCTTTTAAAAAACAAACAAAAAAAAAAACTAATGAAAACTTCACTGGCTGCACTTCAAGGTTGGAAAGCTGTAAATCAAGGGTATACACTCATGGGGTTATCGAAGGACAGAGGCCACAGGGGTAAAAAAAAAAAAGGAAAAAGGAAAAATGCAAGCCGAATTTAGTTCTGTAAATAAAGTGGGACAACTTAAAAATGCAAAGCAGCATGGCTGCCCTGATGGGTAGAAAGAAGGAGGGAAATTTTCCCCTGAGGAACGGCTGGTCTGAGTCAGTTTAAATTCAAACGTTGTTTTTTTTCCTTTGGAGCTGTATTTTTCAGACCTTCTACAGACAGATTGTTCTTTCCATATGGACTATATGTATCTTCTCCCTGCCCCTGAAGCCCTGTGGATTGGAGAACTTATGCATACCCTCATTTCAGTCAGGATCCACATGAGCTAAAATTACTAGGTTTCATTGTCGCATTGAGACAATGAGCCTGGTAGCACTCCAAAATGGATCCACTGCCTTTCTTGCATCTTTCGATGGCAGAGACGTGTGGCAGAATACAAGCTGTTGTTCAGGAAAAGGTGTGCTGTGAGTGAGGTGTGCATACATGGCTGTGAGTGAGGTCAGATACACAGTTGTGACAGCTGCAGAGAACGGTATTGGAGATGTAAGAGGGAGGTGTCAGCATGCTCAGAGGAATGCCAGATTTACAGGGAAGGCAACGTAATTAGGTTAAACAAAAAATCCTGATGAGCAAAACAGCTCTTAACAGCAGTCAAGTAGGACTAAACATAAGCAGTAGGATTGGATGCTGAACATCTGCAGGAAAAACAAAATTTGTGGGTGCAAGAGTGTGATGCAGTGTTCTGAAAAAAGGCTTGGCAAAACCTTAAAGAAGAACAATGTTTTGATGGGGATCACACATTGCACTATGTCAAAATGGCTTAGTGTGTTATGTGAATCCAGCTGCTGTGGCTTATGGCTTAACATATGTTTAAATTCCAATTGAGGCTTACTGAGCCATGACTTAGCATGACACGTGAACCAGTTGTGTTGCAAATCCCACTTAGGCAGTTTTACCAATTTTCCTCTCATATATGAACACTTCCAGATTCCATGGGACAATCTCAAAACCACAACTACAGAGCATTTCTGGTGCAGCTTCTGCTTAGCCACAAGCCAAAAAGCTGGTCAGGCAAACTTCAGCTACATTAATGGCTCCAGTTGGACCAACCAGGAAAAACCACAGTGAGATGGGAGGTGACAAATTTGAAATATAAAATATAAATTAAATATAAAAATACCATAGCACCACTACAATAGGATCGAAGGGGCTGTACACACCCCAGCTTCTTTTTTATCCCACATGTGACCACAAGAGGGGTTTAAAGGTCACTGATCAGCTGACTGGATCACATGAGTTACTTTAACCCCTACCCCAAAACTAAGTTAGAATAGTGGTGAAATAGATTTGCCCTTTCATATAGGCTTCAACCATTCCCTGAAAAGACAAATCATGATCACTAAACCAAAACCTGATGGGAGATACTTGCCCCCTTCCCCATCATGAAATCAGCTGTTGATGTGGGAATTGCAGCAGTGGACCTTGAGAGCCTTGGCCCGTTTTTTCTTACTCCTGTCCTAAAGCCATTCCAACAGCAGAAGGAAGAACCCAGGAATTAGAACAGGGACCTGGGTTTTTCTTTCCGTGGAAGCTACAACCTGAAACTACATGGAATTAAGATGACATAATGAGCCATCTCTTCCTGTCCAAGATGCCTCATGGGATCTGTATAGCTGCAGTCTCGGTGGCCTTTTGCTGCTCTTAAGAATGTTTGCTTATTTAGATACACTCCTGCCACCCTGTTTCATTAAATGACAGATACCATTAATGCAGCCAGCTGTGCCAAGAAGTGCCCAATGTTATATGAGCCAAGGATCACACTTGGCAAGGTCAGAACAACAACAACAACAATGGCTTTAATTTAACCTTATACTTCATTAATTATAAATGAATGTAAATATGCTTAATTAGCATCTCAGGGGAGCACCTGGGGCTAACCTCATCTGGGCTTGGAAGCTAAGCAAGGTGAGATCTGGTTAATACCTGGATGGGAAGTTGCCAGGGGATTCCAGGGCTGTATCTAGATGGGGAGGTTAAAAAACAAAACCCACATCCTTGAAGAAGACAATGGCAAGCCACTTCATTATTGCTACCAAGAAAACTACATGCCTATGTTCATAAAGTCTATGTGGAGGCTTTATTTTAATATAATTATTCTTCCCATGTATTACAATTTAGCAGCGACTTTTAAAGAGACTTTGCCATTTATTGATTCTATATCTAAAATCTAATACAATGCTAAAAAGAATTTGCTGGTGATGATGCAAAAGTAGGTTATCATTTCCTATTCCTCTACCTCAGAGAATGTGACTAGTTTCTGATTACTGTATGTGACAAAGTAACTGTGTTGGCTGGGAATTTGGGAGTTGAAGGCCAACACACCCGAAGGTCACCCTGTTGGAAAAGATTTTGGAGAAGTTCTGTGACGCTCAGTGGCAGTCTGCTGTCTAAAGAGCCGAGCTTTGAGAGGCCATCTCTTCATGCTGTGCTTATGAGCGCCCAACAAGAGACCAGTCTTTGCTGGAAATTCACTGCTCAACCTTTTATTCTAGTCTGCCAAGGCTTTTTTTTTTTGGTCATGTGTGAAATTGTTAAGCACTTCAGAACAAGTTGGCCTTCATATACCTAAATTCTGATTCTGATTAATCCAGTATTATATTACACTAGGAGAAGAGATGCTATTCACCTGAATATTTTGCATTTCACTTTAAAATCCAGCAATTTCTATCCCAAAGTAAGTTTTGAAATTGCTAAACTTCATAAGAGAGTATTGGCTTCTAAGTTAAAGTGCCTAAAGGATTGATAAGATAAAGATAAATTGATAAGATTGATAAGATAAAAGATTGATAAGATAAATCTATTCAGCTTAGTCTTGTCGCATTTGAAAATCACAGCTTCATTAGACACAGTATAATGATTTGCACTGGTATTTTCTTTTTAAAACTCAGTAAATGTTCTTTTCCTAATATAGCAACTTTGTTTTCCAAAGCCTAAATAATTTAATCATCAGTGATTAAATAAGAATTGTTCGGTGTTTTTAAGCAGAGATACAATGAGTGCACCAGTAAGTTATTTTCATACTAGCATATTTGTGTATGAGAGGGAGAGATGTAAAAATAAGATTGGAGTACTTGTAGATTGTTCTCTCCAAAACATTATGCAAACATAGCCATATTTGGGAACAATTCTCTCAGTCATCGCAACAGCAAAACCACGGAAACATCCCTATGTAAAGTTCACCTCTCATAACGCATATGAATCTTGAGGCATCAAGAAGGCAAACAGGCTCTCTTTTTAAGAGCCAACACCATAAAGTGGTTATTTCATATACTGAAAGTACATCTGCTGGCAGAGCAGCCTGGCAACAGAGAATTGCTGCGTGGGCTACTACTGCTTTGGGCCAGTGTTTTACAAGGGCCTGTTCCTATTTGGAGGATGAGCCAATGCTTCAAGTTAACCTTTCTTGCTGGCTTGGGTCATTTTGAGGAAGAGATCCTTGGACTCTTCACGCACCCAACTTTTGACTATAGCCAAGCTATTTTTTACTTTTTCACTGCCTACCTTTGGGCAAGTAATTCTTTCTTATCCTAGCCTATCTCTCTAGGCTGGCTGTGAAGATAACAGAGAGATTTCTTTTCTTGATCCTGTTCCATAGTTGGTCAAAGATGGGTGGCATATACTGTTGACTAATCATTGCAAAACCAAGCTAAACTTCAGCTTTTCCATTGATCTTTAACAGGATTACAGCTTTCTTTTTGCAAATAAATATAATGTAATTATAGTTAATTGCCTAGGGGATTCTCCAAGTTGTTTCAATCACTGGAAACCACAACATTGTCCATAAATAGGAACAACGAATTTCCTTAGATAAGTTAACTCACATTTTTTTTGGTGATTCAGTGTGACATTTAGCAAGTTATCATTTCCTAGTCTTGTAGGGGATTGATGTATCCTCAAGAACTTCCCCTCTGCTTATGTGCATTACACTAATAGCCAGTTACAAATGGCATGTCTCCCATGGATAGAGGAGGTTTCTGCAGTTCAAATGTTGGGAAGCAACAGCATTATAGTGTTGATGTCTTTGGAAAAGCAGTTGATGCTCCTTGTCTGCAGAGCCTTCGGAGATTAAGGGTAGAATGTAAAACCTGGGAAATCAGAGGGTAATACTGGGTTATGAATGATCAGTTATTGGAGATGTATTGAGCTATTGGTTTGCTGCTTATATTTTAGTTATATTTGGTTCTATTCATCTTGTACTATGTTGGATTGTGTAAACTGCTTGGAGACATGATTGGAACAGCATGTAAGTCCTAGTAATAAGTAAAAGATAAACAAGCAAAAAAGTGACTGAAGTACATATGGGTATCTTGGATTGTATGTGTGCTTTCGAGTCAGTGTTGACTCCTGGTGATTTCCTGGATGGGTTCCTGCAGTTTTCTTGGCAGCTTTTTCAGAAGTGGTTTGCCATTGCCTCCTTCCTAGGGCTGACTGGCCCAAGGTCACCCAGCTGGCTTTGTGCCTGAGGTGGGACTAGAACTCACAGTCTTCCGATTTCTAGCCTGGTGCCTGAACCACTACATTGTACTGGCTTTATCATGGATTGTTACCACTGAAATGTTGCTACCATATCATTATTTTCCAAGCTAGACTAAAAGCAAAATATATAGTCAGGAGGGGAAATAAAAGCCAAAAACAGTATTCCTGCATATTAGCATAACATGAACCCAGTTTGTTGAACAATTAAGTTCTGTTATAGCTATTTGTATTATAATTGTGTATTGTATTTCAGTCGGCTGCAGATGCTAGGTTTTTTTCCTCCCCTATATGAAGCTTATCTTAATTTAAGAAATACACGGCCAAGGAGTTCATTGTGCTTTGGGTATATAGATCAGGCTACTTCTATTTTTATCTATTATCCAAACCTTGTATGTAACCACGGGAAATTATTTTCACTGTCCTGTGTAAGTTACAATGATCTGGCTCTTTCCTAAGTTGAAATCTAGTGACTTTAAGAGATTGTGTAAGACAGAGATCTAATTGGGTGGTTGGGGCAATTTGCTCTCAATTGGTTTCCATTTTCACGAATAATATTGGCAGATAATCACAAGGAAAAATATGTTGCAAATACTACTTAATGATACTCTATACATTTTACATATAATAAATGGAGTTTCTGATGGCATATGTATCTCTTAGGTACCAGGTGTGTGATGGCGGCTACACTCTGTCTTGTGGGTATTAATACATTTTCCCAAAGTCGCTACTGGTGTCTTACCTTCATCTTCCAAATTGCAGTGTGGTTGGTAAGTCAACATCTAATCATAAAAGTATGTTTTAGTTTGAGTGAACCAAAAATCTTTAATACCTCTTCAGCAGTGGAAACAGAAACCTAGGCTTCTTCTCCCTCCCAAAATAGTTTGACCTAGGAAGCATCGCTGAGGAATGCTTTCTTGTATCTTCTTTAGCATACATCAGAGTGATAGACAGTGATAGACATTGTGAGTGTGCACATCAAAAGTATATGGCATAGATTCAGAAGCTGAAGCTTTCTAAACCCAAAATCATTAGTGCAAGGTTGTCTTGTGCAAAGACATTTCTAAAACGTCATGTCTGAGCTGAAATAGCAGCTTACCAACACCTAGTATTGCTTTTCCTTTTGGATTTGGTTAGAACCATTTCTCTTTATTAAGCTACATATTTAGGAGAAAAATACTTGAAGAAGCCCTTCAGGTGTAGTGCTTCTGGAAGTGAACCTAGCCACTATTCACTTCCAAGCCATGGAGTTGGATTTTAATGTAGTTACACTTTCAGTAGGTTTATTGAAGTCAGTTGTGTTTGATGGAGATGTCACTGATTTCAGATCTGCATAAGAACGACTAAAGTTAGTCTAATCCATGAATGTTACTAATCCCTCATGCCAGCCAATCCTCAGCGGGTGAATCACTGAATGCTAGGGCTTGGTACACTTATTCAGATGGAGGAGCATACATTCCCAGTTGAACATCACAAATATAATTCCTGCAACTGCTGCTCCCTGGGCTGGCCGAAGTCCTCTTGCCTTGCATTTTCTCTGTTTTTAATAGTCAGTCTGGGGTATTCATAAAACAAGCAGTCCTAATTTTCATTTGAACAACTGTGTTCAATTAGAATATAATAATCATAACCAAATTGAAAAAAAATCCAGAAATGACTTTCAAGGAACCTTCATTTTGAGACAATTTACCTTTCAGTTCTAAAAGATTGAGACAAACAGCTTGAAGAAAATCTTGATCTCACTTGTTAGCCTCCTTGAAGTTGTGATTAGAAATAGGATGCTTAGATAGATGAATTCAATTAATCTGTTTATAAATGTTTGCTTGTGTTCATTATGGCCATTTACAGGAGTATCAGATAAGTAAAATGAGCAAAGCTACTGTACGGAGCAATGCTTTCTTTTCTTTTTTCCTCATATTAATTTGAATGTAGTATAGAAAGACCATTTGGGAGTCAGGCAGTGTAAAAAATAAATAAATTAGATTGCAGGAGAACTATAATATAATTTGGAAGGCTTCCAAATGTTCTCACACATAAGAGCTCCACTAAGGAAGTTGAAAGAATTGCAAAGACACTGCAAATCCAAGAATTTTACAATATATATTTACATTTTTTGTAAATGAAAAATATACTTAACCCATCAAGGTTTCTATTCTGTCACGCCCTTCAAAGGGACTTCATGTTGATAGCACATATAGTAGTGCTTAAAAGTTTGTGAGCACTTTTAAATTTTCAATATTTCTGCATGAATATGACCTAAAATGTGATTTGTTCTCCACACAAGTCCTAAAACTAGATAAATTAAACAAATGAGTAAAAAATGTTATACATTCACTGATTCATTTTTTTATAATACATTTATTAGAATTGTACATGGATAAAAGGTAATACAAACCTAGAAAAGATATAAAAAAAGAAAGAAAATAAAAATAAAAGGTGACTTCCTCCTCTCTCCAAACAAGTATAAAGATTTATTGTAGCTTAAGACCTTCTGTAGTATTACAAAAACCCCTCTTCTTCCATTTGTCATCCCTTAATAATAGCCAATTTATAACAAATCCATCCATCCATACACACAAAAGGAGTAAGAGTACCAGAAATGACCAATATATTTTAATCTTAAACAAATAAATCCATTATACATTTTAACTATAACTTTCTCTAATAAGTAAAACATAAAAGATTTATCCCCATAGGCATAAAAATACCAACAATAGTAACATATATATCTTAAACTAAATGAAATAAGTCCCTTCTACATGCAAACCTGTAACTTTCTCTAACAAATAGGACATAGAACATTTATCCCCATATGAAAAAAATCTTGAAATCGTCATCATACTGTTGCCTTTAAAACCCAGTGGTGTGGAGCTGAAGACCTATTCCCTAAATTTGGGAGGGAAATCAATTTTACCTTTGCAAAGGTGGCTTCTTAGCCTGCCCGAAAATACGAACCACCTAGTATTTCAGCCAAAGTGAAAAGCGTTTATTATAGGGTACAGAAACAAATGATACATACATTCAGTATATGTGATACATCAGAAAGCAACTAAACAATAAAAAAACAGTGATTAGACGTGAGAATTGAACAACAGAAAACATTGATTCCGGATAGCATTCCACAAGTGGCAAATGTATAGGTCACTCCCTTTCCCAGCCGTTTTTATCTTTAAAACTTGCATTCAAGGACTTTCAGAATATGCTCTCTATTGTTTAGTTGCTGAAAAGGCAAGTTCTCAAATATACTAAAAGAAATGGCCTTGGCCCAGAAGAAAAACACACTTTCCTAAAGTTAGAAAAGAGGCCTAGATTGCCATGTTAAAAATGCTAATATCACCTTTTTAAAATGCTAATAATGAAGCCTAAAATTCCAGATAACAGTATAATCCTGGTCATAAGAAAATATTCCAGCTCAGAATCACAACTTATACAATTTAACCCTGATCAAATAAGCCCACTTTGAACTCCTTTTTCTTCTTTTAAAGAGACTTGATCTTCACTCATTTCTTCAAATAAAATCCCACATGATAATCTCTTATAATTTTCTCCCTATTTTCATACTTCCCTTCTGTGGATCCAAAATAAGATGGCTCTCAGTCACTCTTCTGATTTATAATCTGAATATCCCCTTTAATTGTTAAAACATCATCTAGTATAACTTATAAGTTCCATGCAGCTTCTTTCTCCTTGTCACTTTTATAGTCAAACGTTTTTAAATCCCATTTCAAATCCACAACATCTTCTTCCATGTCTTCCATATCTCTTTTATAGTCTGGCAGTTTTTTAAAGTCAATTTTAAGATCCCTATTCAAATTATCCTCAGCTTCTGTTTTATCCAACAAAGTTGTTTCTTCTTCTATAACTTGTTAAATCCACTTTAGGTGTATCAAAAAGTTTTAAGAATAAGTCCTGAACACGTTGTTCCCAAACCAACTTAAATTCTTCTATAGTAAGATAATGTTCTTCCATTGTGTTAATAAGTATCTTCTCCTTTAATTGCTCTCTG